CTCCCCGCGCTCGAGCAAGTGCGGGCGAGGGGCGGGGAAGGCCTCGCAGCGCGGCGAAGATCTCTCGGCCATCTCTCGGCCATCTCTAGGGCTACATCGCGATGCGACCTCGTAGCGCGCGCCGCAAAAGTGGGCCGGAGAGAGGCCGAGGCAGCGGTGGCGGTACAGGACAGTCGAGGCCGCGTCGAGGCGGAAGCCGTCGAGGCGGTACGCTTCTGCGAAGTGGGCGATGGTGGCGAGGAGGAGACGCAGCACCTGCGGAGGGGTTGAGTGGTCCGACGAGCCGGGAGTCGGGACGTTGAGTCTGTCGAGGACTAGCGCCGCACCTCGGTGCGAGAGTAGTCGAAGAGGCGCGAGCCCCAGCCCGGGTGGTGGCCTGCCTCGCCGGGCAGGAAGTAGGGCCCTCCGCCTGCGTGCTGCGGCAGGCCCTCCCTGCCGGTAGACGACGAGGCCTACTCACAGCCCCTCCTTCCTCTTCCCTCGCACCGCCCCCCTCCCGCCCCTCCCCACCGGCGGACGAGTGCCGAGTGCGCGAGGACCATCTCCCCGAGCACGAGGAGCCCCCTCCCGTGCGCCGCGTCGACGAGCGCCTGCACGCCGCGGTCCGGTGCAAAGTGTCTGGGGCGTGTCTGGGCGAAGGTGCCGACGAGGCGCTCGGCGAGGCGCCTGCAGCTCGCTGGGCGGTCCGAACCGCTCCGCCGGCGCGAGAGGCGAGGTGACCTAGGGTTAGGGTTGGGGTTAGGCTTAGGGTTGGAGCGAGAGGCGAGGTGACCTGGCGACGGTCAGCCGCTGAGGCGACACAAAAGTACCGGCCTGTACCCGAACGAGGGCCGCGCGCAAGCACGGCTCCTCACATCCTCCCGGCTCCTCCCGGCTCCTCTCTGTAATCCTCTTCGCTCCTCTCGGCTCCTCCCGTGCCGACCTGGTACCCGAACGAGGCGTAGTAGCCGTGCTCCTGCAGGCCGAGCAGGGTTAGGGGTAGGGGTAGGGTTAGGGTTAGGGTTAGGGTTTGGGTTAGCATTAGGGTCGGGCGTAGTAGCCGTGCTCCTGCAGGCCGAGCAGCAGCAGCGCCGTGTAGCCGAGCTCTTCGATGCGAGGGAGCAGGTCCGTGCGCAGGTCGGACCAGCGGCCAACCTCCTCCCGCGCGGTGGCGATCCCCACGTGCACCTCGTACACGCGCAGCGAGCCGGGCGGCCGCGACGGGCGGGCGTGCTGCCACGCAAAGCCGCCGAGGCTGCGCGGCACCAGCGCGCAGACCTCGTACGAAGACGGGTCCTGCTGCACCTGCTCGCAGCGGCGGCGCGTCAAGGGCCGCCGCCTCCGCCCGCCCTCCCGCGCCGCACACGTGCCACGCCTCCAGAGCCCAGGCCGGCATCGACACCACCCAGCCTCCTCCTCCCTCCCAGCCTCCTCCCTCGCCGCCGCCCGCGAGCCCTCGCAGCGCAACCTTGAACCTCGCGCCGACGCGGAGCGGCGCGAGCAGCGTCGTGTCGTCGTCCCTCACCAAGGCCTCCCACACCCCTCCGCCGACCTCCTCGCACGGGTGCGCCGTCACGTCCCATCCATTGAAGTCACCGACGAGCGACGCGGCGGCAGCCGAGGGCGCCCACTCGCGAAAGCGCCAGCCGACCGCGTCGCGATGCAGGCCGAAGTGCCGCAGCCCTCGCTCCACGCAGAAGTGCCGCAGCCCTTCCGCGGAGCCCTCAGAGGGATGACACTGGCCGTCACCGCCACCGACGCCACCCTCGGCACAGAGCGAGTCGAGCGCCTCGCGAAAGCGGAGGTGTCGGCGGCGGATCTCAGGCCCAGAGGAGTCTGCCAGCAGCGGGTCGGCGACGATCCAGTCGGGGTAGTCGGAGAGAGCAGCCACGCCGGGTGACGAAGGAATTGGCGCTGCGCTTTGGTCTCTTCTGTCTGCTGGCCCAACCCCAGAGGCTCGGCATCTTTTTTTGCGCGACACTGAGGAGGTACCCCGAGTGTGTGTGTGTGTGTGTGTGTGTGTGTGTGTGTGTGTGTGTGTGTGTGTGTGTGTGTGGCAGTAGGTGGGCGAGCTTCAAGCGCGCTCATCTCGAACGACAAGGCGTCGCTACGCGCGGTCTCCGCGGGGGGAGCGTCGTCGACGGGTGCGGGACCGAGGCGCAGACAGACAGTGCTGCGGCGATGCCTCCGGCTGTTGCGGCGAGTGGTTTGCTGCTCGCAGCGATGGCGAAGAACTCGTCTCGTCACACGCCAAGGGCTTATGCTCTGTCGAGACGTGAGGCGCCTGTGCGCCCAGGAGGGGAGGGGGCATGCGTAACGACGCTGCTAGAGATGCCTTTCGGGGCCCAGAGAGAAAACTTCTGATGCCATGCGTGACCTAGTAGTGTCCCCAGCTATGGGCGTGTCCACGTTGGAGCCAGGTGTGGTGTGGACGCGAGAATAGCTCCGCCGTTCATGGAGGCAACCGATGCGAGTCGACTGGTGTGTGTCGTCGTGGTTTCGTATCAAGAATACTCACTCACACACACACACTGGTACCCCGACCAGGTGGCTGCGCAAAACAAAGAGACACAAAAAGACACACAAGCGCACGCTGGAGCCTATGGCAACGCGCGCTCCCACTGCGCGTCGGGGCGCAGCCGCCAGCCCCACACGCGACGAAAATGTCCTTGAAGAGCACCTCGCCCGCCACCTCCTCCGCCAGCACCTTGTCCTTCACCGTCTGCAGCGCCGTCTCCGCGTTGGCCGCCAGCCCGAGGAAGCCCTCCTCGCCCGTCGCCTTGTTCGGCTTAAAGTTGAGCGATCGCTCACTCAGCACGCCAACCAGTCGATGATGAACTCGGCGAGGACGCGCCACATGCGCGGCCCGGATCCCTCGAAGTACGCCTCCCCTCCATAGCGCATGATGAGGTCGTGGAAGCGCGCCCGCCGTACCGCCGCCGCGTCGCTGGCTCGAACTGGTCTCCCCGCCACATGTTCTCGTTGCCCGAGAGCCGAGAGTCGCCCGCCTTGAACCCCGCCTCGGTGCCGTCGGTCGAGTAGAGCTCGTGCGGCGAGTAGCGGTGGTGCGCAGCGAGTAGAATTGAGCACTTGAGCACTGGATAGGGTCGATTCCGCATGGTACGATCGTCTCGCCCTCCCTCGCCCTGGTGTGCTCATTGGGGGGGGGGGGGTCATAACAAACACGGTACAGGATCGAGGTGCACGCCGCTGAGGGACCCCTGAGGGTAGATCGAGCGGTGTCGTCCCCCCTCCCTCTCCATCATCTCAACAGGGAGACGTCGACGGCGATGGCGGTGTGACCGATCGAGCTACAAGAGGAACTTGTTCAGCAGGATCCGGGACAGTTGGTGTGCACTACCTAGCTAGTCCCTCTATCGCCTTACAACGCCCTAGTGTCGCTAGTGCCTAGAGAATCCCATCCGTCTTGAACACATGCACATTCACATCTAACAGGCCGTTTTCTGTTAGAAACTAAGAAAGAAAGCGAAAACAGCATCCCGAGGGAGGGATGGGAGGACGGCACGCCGCCACCACAGAAGGATTTTAAGGAGAGGAGTGTGGTGCTAGCCGTCGCCCCCTCTCGGACGTTTGCTTTTGACCTCTTTTGACCGCGCAAGATATGAAGGGTGGCTAAGGGCTCTGCCCGCAAGGCGCCCGCGTCGCAGACGCGGTACCATTGATTGACAAATCTGCAATATACCCACGCCACGCCGCTTGCGGCGGTCCTATTCCCAGCTCCGCTGAGGGCCCGTGCACTTGGAGCACTTGGAGTGCAGTTATCAACCTCACATCGTGCGTTCTTCTTTTGAGAGCGCCCCCCCCGGGGCGGGGGGGGGGGGGCTCCCCTGAGGGAGGGTGTCTAGGTCTGTCGGTGTCTAGGACTAGGTCTAGAGAGCAAGAGGGATAGAGGGAGGAAGGGAGGGGGGGCGTTTCGTTCTAAATTGATGAGAGGACTAGCACTCACCGCCCGCACACTGCCGCCCATCCCTCCACGGGCTTCTTGGGTGGAAAGATATGCCACCGTGAACGGGGGCTACTCGAGTACCTCAGGGTTTTCCCGTCGCACGTGACACAGGCCACAGCATTCTGCTGCTCGCCCCCCCCGCACTTCCGAGAGCTCGCGGGCCTCAATGAGTCGAGGGTCCCCGCGGTGTCGGTGCCGTGAGTGCGCCGGCTGCCTGGCTACGGAATGCGGAACCTGCCGCGAGTGCCTTGACCGGCCGCGGCTTGGCGGTAAGGGCATTCGCAAAAAGCTGTGCCGCCGTCGCAAATGCCAAAACCCTCAGCACGCAGGGCGTATCCATGTCGCCGCCGCTCCCGCCGCCGCGGTATCCTCCGCCAGCCCGCTCCCGCTTGACGCAATGCTGCCTCAGCTTCTCCAGCAGGCGCGAGCGCACCTCTTGCGGCTCAGGCGCCTCCCTGCTCCGCGCGGCTGCCTCGTCGCCTCCATCCGGGCGTCCTCCGCTTCCGCCTCCGCTTCCGCCTCCGCCTCCGCCTCCGCCTCCGCCTCCTTCGCCCCTGCCTCCGCCTCCTCGTTTCCGCCCTCGGCCGTCCCCGGCTGCTTCTGCGCCCTCCCAGCCAGCCCGGGCGCCTTCCAGGCCCTCGCTGTCCCTGACGCCGACGCCGCCCCCGGCGGTACGCTCCAGCGCTGGCAGGCAGGTCTGCTCACACCCGTGCGCTCCCCGGGGCCCCTGCACTTTGATGGGGCCGTCGGGCTCGGGACATGCAGAGAGATGGGACTGCGGTGGGCTAGGGACATGGAGAGAGATGGAACTGCGGTGGGATTGCGAGAATATCCCGGCCTCCGCACAAGAGCTGCAGACGACCCCCTCCCCCCCTTCCCGCTCCGCCTCTTAGGCCGAGCGGGGTCTCTGCCTCCAGCCGCCGTCGCAGTCGCCGTCTCCGGCACGCGGGGCGGGGAGCCGTGCCGGTTGCCGCTGCGCAGCCGATGGGACGAGCTGCTCGCCCCCGCAACCCGCGAGGGCGGCTCGGAGGAGCATCGAGCCACTGGCTCTGGCGGCGGGCGGCTCGCCGCCGCCGTTCCGCTGGCGGCGGTGCCGCTGCGACGCGAGCTGGCGGGCGGCGGAGCGGCGGCCGCCTTCGCCCCCGCGGCTCCTCCGCCTAGCGCGGCTTCTCTTGCACGCGCACTCGAGACTGCAGCCAGCCCCGCGCTCGCCGCGCCGCTGCTCCCCGCGCTCGCCCCGACGCTCGCCCCGACTTTGGCCTCCGACGGCGGCGCGGCCCTCGCCGCCGCAACCTCCGCCGCCGCGCCCGGGCGGGCACGGCGTGCTACCTGGAGGTAGGGTGTGGACGGCGCCTCTTCACGGCACGCGTGCTGTGAGCAGGTGGGGCGCCATCGTCGACGAGTGGGCAAACGAGCCTAGATGCGTATTGTGCACTCCGATTGGCACTCCAAACGACACACATTCGGCGGGTATGCAGCCGTACTCAGCTGCTCTCGTACGGCGCTGTGGATGCTCCAGTCCTGACTGACGCGTTCTATTGAGGTCAGGCAACCGAGTTGGACTTGCTGGAGGGGACCGGTAAGTGCCATGCGGCAGACCCGGCGGCACTGCCCTCGCCGCTCCCCTCGCCGCCGGAGCCTGCCCCTCCACCCAGAGGGAAGAGTTGGATGTCGCGCGCAGCGCCCGCCTCTGGGCCGCCCCCCGCCCCGCCGCACCAGCCGGTGCCGCCGCCGACGCACGCTCTGCCGATGGCGGTGGCGGTGCCGATGGCGGTGCCGATGGCGGTGGCGATGCCGGTGGCGGCGACGCCGGTGGTGCCAGTGGCGACGGTGATGTCGATGCCGATGCCGCCGGTGCCGCCGCCGATGCCGTACTCATGCTCCGTGGGGGCAGGCACCTCGCTGCCCTCCCCAGGGTACATCCCGCCGGCAGACGTCCAGACCGCACCCAGACTGGGGGCCAGCGGCAATGGCTCGTGGCAGCTGCTGGCGCGTGTACCGATCCCGGCCGTCCTCGTCGCCTCGGCCGCCATCCCCGCCCTCCTCACCACCGGGCTGGCCTCCTTTGGCGCGGGCGCTTCGGCGGGCGCGAGCTACGTCACGCTCGCCCTCCTGCTGACGCCACGCACGCGGCGCGCGCTCTCGCGCTCGCCTTGCGGCGCCGTGCTCCGGCAGGCGCTGGCATTCTTGGTCGTGGTCTTTTGGGTCCGCTCCCACTCCGCCTCGTACTACGACCAAGAGCCACGCCCCTCGGTCCCGCTCTGGATTGCGCGGCCCGGCGCCTTCACGCTGCCCTTCTTCGCGGCCGCCTACCTGACCCAGCTCGCTTCGGGCAACGGACGGCTGGCGGGGCACGTCTGGTGCGCCGCTTGCATCCTCATCCCCGCCACGGGTGCCGCGACCATGTTTTTGCGGCCGGCCGCGGCCATCGAGTCGGAGCTCCTCCACCACACGAGCAGCTCGCCACTCAAGTTCGGCGTGACCTTCTCGCTCGGGCTGGTCCACAGTGCACAGCCGCGCAGCACCTCGTTCAAGCTCCTCCTCGCGGCGGCGGCGGTCGCGCTGGGCTCGTCGGTCCTCGCCGTCGCCTACCTCCGCACGGGCGACGGGCGGTGGGTGCGGACCGTCATCCACCCGGTCGGCTTGCCGTTTGCCCTGCCGGCCCTACTCCCGCACGCGATCGAGGCGGAGTTTCGGCGTGGTGTGACGAGAGCTCTTCAGCGCCTGAGAGGCGCCGGCCGCCGCCGGCACCGCGGCGGCACACATGTACGTTTGGCTTTGCGTCCAGCGCTAGGGGACGCAGCGGCCGTCGTGTCGTCGCCCGCGGAGCCCGCGGCGGCTGATGTGTGAGCCCCCCGTGTTACTTATTTCTTTATGCTCGCGACCGTACTCACCTGGCCTCCGCCGCCGCCTCCTCCTCCTTCCTTCGCCCCTGCCTCCGCCTCCTCGTTACCGCCCTCGGCCGTCCCCGGCTGCTTCTGCGCCTCCCAACCAGGGCGCCTCCGTCTCACGTTTGGTTTTGGGATCTGGGCCACGACTGCCCTCCAGATCGCCCGTCCTCTCACCTGCCATGGCGTGGGTGGCCCCGCTTCTTGCGCTCCATCACCCTCTCCCAGCTCTGTCCTCGAGGTATATAGTGTATAGATAGTGGTAGCTGCTGACATCCGGTCCACTGCATAAGGGTCGAGTTGGTACGTTCTCGCGTAGTTTCTCACGTATGTGTCTTGTGTGTATATGTCCGTAGTATGAACAATGACGAATGAGGATGTTCCCCATTAGTACATATAGTACGTCGTAAAGCCGTAGACCGAGCCTCCCCCGTAATGTAATACACGTCGAAATAGATTTGAGCGGGGTCAGCTTTTCTAAAATAGTGCAATAAATAAAAAATAAAACGGATCCCAAGCTAGGGCTGGGTCGAGGACAGACACGTCCCCACCTTTGCAGGATTTTGCAAAAGCGAGGGGGGAGGGGGGGGGGCCGGGGGGGGGGGGGGGGGGCGCATCGCGGCGCGGAGAGGGCTGGGCACAGGGCACAGGGGATCTCTCTCGCATAGGATACGCACTCGGCGGCACGAGGGCAAGGCTGAGCGTCCTATTTGGCGTCCTATTTGTGCTCCCAAAAGAAAGAAAGAAAACGGACAACCCAAGGGAGGGATTTGTGCTCCCCTCCGGACTTTCTAGACTCGGAATTTCTTTTCACTCTAAAATTCTTTTTACTCCGCTCGTCGGGTGGTTCGCGGCGGGCACTCTCACCACCGCAACCCTGTAATGCCGCGCTCGGACTACCAGTTCAAGTGCGTGCTCATTGGTGACAGCGGTGTGGGGAAGACGTCGCTCATTCGTACCTTTGCCACCGGCGGCTCGCCGCTCTCCGCGCCCTCGGCCGGAGGCGTCGACTTTGCCACCAGGTGCCTCCTTACGGCACGGCATAGCTCAAGCGGGAGGCCCTCCCCGCTGAGCAGTGCACCCACACCTCCCTCAAACCCTCCTGGCTATCCAGCTCCTCCCGGTCCTAAGCGCGCCGAGCCTGCCCGCGCCGCGCCGTCTCGCTGCAGGCAACTGGAGCTCAAAGGCAAGACGGTCGAGGCGCAGATGTGGGACACGGCCGGCATGGAGCGGCACCGCGCGGTGACAGCGGGCTTCTACCGCGGCGCCGTCGGGGCCTTCGTCGTCTTTGACCTCACGAGCCACGCCTCATTTGGTGCCCGATTAGTGACCATGCAACTCTAAGACATGCACTGCCACCGAGCAATCCTCGCCGCCCATCGTCCCCGCCCTGCAGGCCACTGCGAGAGATGGTTGAGGGAGCTACGGGCGCACCGGGCCGAGGGCGAGCCGCACCTTCCCCTCGTCATGATGCTGCTCGGCACCAAGGCTGACCTGCGCCGGAGGCGCGCCGTCGTCGCGCAGGACGCAAAGGAGTTTGCTCAGCGGCACCGCCTCCTCTATGCCGAGTGCTCGTCCAGCGACGCCTCGGAGGTGTGCTTGCGTTGACGGGGCGACCTCCTCTCGCCCCGAATCCCCGTTCCGCCACACTAGGTGAACCAGGCCTTCGAGAGGGTGTTGGCTGAGGTGTTCCGGAGGGTGCGCAAGAGCATCGAAGCGGGCCAGTGCAACCCAGACCGGCCGGCGCCAGTGCTCATCAATACGGTTCTGCTTACGCCCGCGCAGCAGGCGCGCGATGAAGGCCGGGCTCAGGCCGCCGGCGGCTGCTGTTGAGTGCGTTGTTGTGGCTTGGATGTGCACATAATTGGTTATTGGGGTGGGGGGAGGTGTGTGTGAGCACTAACCATACTGCGATGAGTGTGTCTGTTGGTTTTGCTTTATTGGGGCGCCAGAGCAGAGATCTCTCTGTATCTCTGTCTGCTCTCATTCGTCTGTGATATCGAAGAGACTGTATAAGTACTCCAGCATAGCGGGTTGGGGGTGTAGGGTAGGCCCTATATACAAAACGGCGGGAGAGGGGTACCCGCGGGTGGTAGGGCTATATGCCTAGAATATCGTTATCGACAACGCTAGAGGGCTCAACCACCCCTCCACCCCTCCAACCTTCCACCCCTCCACCCTCCCGGAGCGAGAGAGGTCCGTCTTCGAGCCCTCCCACACTTCCACCCCTCCGACCGGAGGGCTTGCCAGCCCACAGGGCTGGACGGGTCCCCGTCGGATCCTTAGGGTGTACCCTTAGGGTTCTCTCAGGGCCGGATTCTTTAAAGACCTTTTAAGAAATGAGGAGATTTGGGGGCTGAAATTACCATTTAAGAGATTGCAGGCACGGGGGGTCCCTCTTTTAAGACCGTTTAAGAAAATCGGCCTCACCGGCATGCGTCGCTGGGTTCCGCGCCGTTTTCTCCAATACTGCCGTTATTAGGCACAAACCCGCCTCTGAAGACACGTCTGTAAGTCTGGTGCACTGGCAGGAGCCATACTCGCATAGGGGGCGCGTGCTAGCTGACTGTAGCCAGCTTCCCGGCCTCCGGCGTCTACCGGGAGCCTCCCGGACCATCGACCTCGGGAGCTCTCCCGCACCGTTTAAGCGTTTAAGACCGTTTAAGGAATCGGCGGCCCAGCAGCTCTTAAAACCTGCCCGGGCAGGTTTTAAGCCGTTTAAGCCGCAGGCCCCCCAGGGCCCACCCTTTTAAGCCTAGGGGTACCCTAAGATTGCGTGCCCCGAAGACGGCGACACATAGCGGGGGACACCACGCAAGAAGATGGCGAGCCCTCCGATCGGAGCACGGAGGGCTTGCCAGCCCACAGGGCTGGAGGGGTCCCCGTCGGATCGGCGTCGGGAGGGCTCCACAGGGCTAACCCCCTCCCCGGACGCCGGGTGGGCTCGGAGGGACGGTCGGACGGGGGAGGATCTTCGTGGCGGGAGGGCTCAAGAGGGGTCGGAAGGGCCCTCCGGGAGGGGTCGCAAAAAGATAAAGAAAACGAAGTCGCGGCTTATGTGACTGCCCCCCAAGAGGGCTCGGAGGGCTCGCAAGCCCGGTGGTGGTGGGAGTGGGCCGTTAGCCGTAGTTATGGCGGGCAGCCCCAACCCGTACGCGGCAGTCCCGCCGGTGCATGCTACTCTTAAGGCGATGGGCGAGGCCGCCGGATCTCCCTTTAAGGCCAAGCCTCGCGACGTCGCTGAGCAGCTTCTGAAGCGGTACGGCTCCTCAGATGAAGCTGGCCGGCGTGCCGAGTCCTACCTTGCCACCGGGCAGCACAAGAAGCGCCGTCCGCTGCAGTGGGCGATCGGCGTGGCGAGGGAGCGTATGAGGGTGGAAGCCGCGGCGGCGACGCCGACGCCGGCAGGGGCGACTGTCCAGTCTCTGGTGCTCGCGTCGGCAGGCGCGTCGGCGGCGCCCACACCCACGCCCGTCGGCGGGGAAGCGCAGAGCGCACCGGTGCTGCGCCGGCTTGGCGCTCCCACCGCGGGCGGATCCGCTCTTGCCTCTCG